ATAACAAGCTATAGTTCACGTCTCACGAGCTCGACTTCAACAATACTCTTTGACTGCAGTTCAATAACTCATTACCTACACACATTATCCCGTCACGTTGTGACCGTCTCATATATATATACAAGACCAACACTATATCTAGTAATCTCCCGACAATTCACGAAAGTTCAGGAGAACGAGTGGCGTGACACTAGTCATGTGACCTCGCTGACGCAACAGTATTAAATCAGAGCAGGAGAAAGACCAGGATTTGAAGCCAATAATTGATTTTCTAAAAGCAAGTGTTTTGCGCCCTGCTTGGGAGTAGGTGTCTAGTCTAAGCCCTGTGACAAAGAACTATTGGATACAATGGGACCAGTTGAAGCTTGAAGATAGTATTCTTGTCTGGATATGGGAAACTGCAGATGGGAAAGTGATGATTTGGTAAACAGTTATACCGAGAAAGTTACGGGAAGTTGTGTTGCGTCAATCCCATGATAGTTTAACAGGAGGACATCTCGGAGTTAAGAAGACATTGAGTCACGTACTACAGAGATTTTACTGGATAGGCCAGATGTGGAAGAATGGTGCAGGACATGGAGTAAATGTTGTGCTAAAAGGGGACCCAAGCATAAGGGACATGCTCCAATGAAATTATATCAAGTTGGTGCACCAATGGAAAGAGTAGCCATTGACATTGCTGGTCCTTTGCCTCAAACTCGTGCTGGAAACAAGTACATTTGTGTGGTGATGGATTATTTTACCAAGTAGCCTGGGGCATATGCAATACCAAATCAGAAAGCTACAACAGTAGCTTTGGCTATTAGTGATTTAGCGATACAAGTCCTTTCTTAAATAAAACTAGCTTATTCTTTCTCAATTCTACTTTGCAATACACTTAATTTCCAAAGTCACTTAAACAAACGCTATAATACACAACGAACGATTCACGCGCTTGACTCAATTGTCCGTCTTTATCTCTGTCTGCAATTCAATTTCATTGTTGCCGTCACTTCTTGGCGGTCTTATATACAAGAATACCGCACATCTAGTAAACACTCGAGCATTCAAGAACCTTCGAGAATATCATGACGTGTTACTAGCGTCACGTGACTTCCACTGTCGTAACGCTGCCCCTTCCCGAACAATAGCCACTTAAATTAAACCAATAGATAATTAACAATAACTTAATTAAATCTGTAGAATTTACAAACACAAAATTAAGATACAACAAAGTCTCTTAATTTTGCAGGACGTTTCTTGTTTCCTACTGGTCTCCTTCTCATTGGTTTCTGCTTCACGTGGGATTCATCTGCTCCATCAGGAAATGTCCCATCATCGGCAGGAGCTACATTAGCGGTAGTAACTTCATTAACGGCTTCACTGTTTTCCTTCTCAAAGCCGGGTCGAATTTCTTCTTCAACAGTGGCTTTTTCAGGTGACACGTCTTCAGTAGCGTTATTTGTTCTGTTGTTCATTTCGTTCCAACTGAAATGTCCTGGACCGTGATAATGCTAAAGCCTGTTGGCATGCACCACCTTTAGCTTACCTCGCCGACCACATTTTATTTGGAAAGTCACGTCTGAGAGACGATCCACTATGTCATATGGGCCTTCCTATAGAGAAGACAACTTAGGAGACTTCCCTTTGACCTTCCTGAGATTATACAACCATACCTTGTTTCCTGGTACAAAGCTGACTTCAATAGATTTCTTATCATAACATAGCTTCATGGAATCAGCAGATATTTTTAAGTTTGAACACACTTGATGATGAATATCATCCATACTTTCAGGTAACACTTTCACGAACTCTTGTAGGTTTCTTCAACAGACAGTTGCTGGCCATTTGAAATTTAGATTCATCTTCTAAATAATTGTATAATGCTTTCTTTACAGAGGGCGCTGAAGTTTTAGTGTGGTGAGCAAATTGTAAAGAAAGTTAAATGTACTGTATATGGTTATGAATAATAATTAATATTTGATTATATTATAGATTCATAGGTAAATTAATTTTTTCGAACATATTGTGTGTTAGTTTCTAACCCGTTTCGAAGTAGAATATTTACTTTATAATGTTAATGTCGAAAATACAAAAGAAAAATTGTGTTAATATATATATGATTATTGATAACAATTACTTAATTAACCTTAATTTCGTCTTTATCATGAATTGTATAATTTCTATAATGTTGTGATGGTTGTAAGTTAAGATAACTTTATAACTAGTAAAAGTTGTGCTTACATACAGAATGATTCAAATATCAAAACAACCTAGGGGAAGCAATACCTACACTGCTTCAGGCTTCGGAGAACAAAATGAAAATTGCAATGTGACCATCTTTCACTTCCAAATTTCAGAAAAAAATTTTCACAGGAAGGAGTAACTTCAGATTTATTAAATTTAATATTTAATTAAAAAAATACCTTTAAAAATAAAGTTTCATTTTGTTTTGTACCTGAAGTGAAGGAGGATGACCATAGACAGTTTGGAGATAAATATTTGGCTTATCCGTGGAGTCTTACGTTTCTGACTTGTAAGTTGTTGAATTAGACTTTACATGCTTAAGAAAGACTAAAACTGCTATGTTGACAAACTCCACCATGTATAAAATCTTATCACTTTGACCATAAATGTGCATGCATATGAAATGATGAAGTAATTGGAGACAGAGGTCCAGTGTTTGAAAACTTGAAGGACAGAAATTGAATTTGGATGAGGAATGTATAATGAACTTTTGATATGCAAAAAAAAGTCCTGTCATGGAGCAGAATACTACAGGTATATAAACAGACAGTCCTGTAGCAAGGACTCAGGCAATCATTCTATCAATATTTGAGAAGCTATATACATATGCATTTAGTTGAGAGATAACAGACAGTAAAATACCCTCTAGGAGAGTCTGATATTAAAGTTTATTTCATGTTTTATTCTTTTTACCTAAGTTATCTGTCAGTGTGGGGGTTTCATGAAGAATTAGTAACACTGTTGGAGTAATCCTTCAATATTATTATCGGAGTGGCATTGTGTATTTTGTGAAGTCTCTTGAAGACTACAAGATAATCATTTTCAAACAATGAATATTTTGTATTTCTGCACCTGATTGATATCTCAGGAAACCTGTAAAAACTTTAATAATAGTTAACTGTGGTATGTTTCAGCATCACGTTCTTTTATATTTACTTACAAAACTCTGATTTTGAATACAGAAGGACATACATTGTGTTGGCAATAAACTGTTATTAAATTTCTTTCTCTAAGTTGTGGGATTTTGAAGAAAATAAACATAGTTTTTGAAGAGAGCACCATTCATATGTTAAGATACTCTGGCATCTTTAGTGAAAGAACTCTTATAAAAAAAGCAAAACAACAACTCTTAAACAAAGATGATATTGCATTTCTTCATTAAGTTAAAGTCCAAATGCACTGTCATCTGGTATAATTTGTATACACTAAAAGTTCATTGTGAGTTAATAGTCCATCTCATTACAATACAGATGTCTGCTTGGTTGGGATGATAGGTTTACCCAAGTACCAATGTAATTGATTTAAAAAGAATTATGCCTAAGCTCAATTTAAAAGAAATTACAATTGAACAAAATATAATTTCTTTGTAACAAATCATTTACTTTTTAAAATTTGGGGAAGAAGTGAGATTGACATACAGGAAAGGGATATTTGTACGTAGGATAGTTGTATACAGATATGTAGAGCTAGGTAATTAATGGAATTTGATTATTGTCTACATTCAACTAACAGTTTATTCTCATGTGACTTGGATAGTTGAAAATAGTAACAATTGGAAATACTAAATTTGATTAGCTTCTTATTCTTGTGAGTTGTGACATTACTGAATTAAGCTGAACAACCTTGAATTAATCAAAAATAACAATGAAAAATCATAATGGCAATATTTCAATTACTTGGATGGGTGAAATAATTGAAAACAATAATGGTCAGAAACACTAATTTTGATTAGTTAATTGTTTTAGTGCTGTTGATTTAATCATAATTTTGATAGACTATTTTACCCAGCACTAATAAGTGTAATCAGTACTCATAGGTAATCAGTTAATTATCGAGCTTTACATATATGGGGTAAGCTTTCATTATCCCAAACAAACAGATCCATGTTCTGAAGATATAGCTAATAACGTAAATGTGAGATATAGATGTCCCTACTGGGCAAAAGAAAAATGCACTTTTTTTTAGATCCTAAAACATCAATAAATGGTTTAAAGAACTTGTGACCAATAGTTACCAAAAGTTACTTTTTATATAAATTTGAATTCCATACTTGGAATCCAAATATTCAAAATATAAAGCATGATTTTTTGCAACTCTTCTGTTAACACATATTCTGTTTCCATAGCCTTTCCTTTATCAACAAGTTTTTTCAAGTAAATATTTTCTCTTCTCCAGATTCACCCTATTACAACAGATTCTATTTTTACTATACAAAAACTTCATCCATTCTGTATTAATAATTATCTTTCTCATCAACCACTCTGCATACAGATTATATAATGCCGGTGATAGCATACATCCTTGTTATGTGCTTTTCTTAACCACAGACCAACTGATAAGTTTTCTGTCAATTCATACTACTGCTTCTTGACTCCAGTGTAAGTTCTTCAGTATTCTGATATCTGATTGATCTACCATTGAAACTGATGCTTCCTCCAGTATAATTTTTTTAGGATTCTGGTATCTAATTGAAATACCTCAGTCTGCATTAACATCAAATGGTTAACCCTGCAAAAAGCTTTCTCAAAGTCTGTGAAGTATACATAAAAATTTCTTTGCACTTAGATGGTTCTTTCACCTCTAACCATTATAAATCTGTGGTTTATCTTTATAATCACCCTTTATTAAAACCTGTTTATTAAGCATAAAATATTATGATGACATTCCTACCTCATTATCTTTCCAGTCTATTAAACTTTGAAAAAAAAAGTATTTAGTCCACAAAGTTATTCTTATGAGTGTGAAAGTTGTAGAGACTGTATTGGAGAATGTATCATTTATGCTTATGATAACTGTTTACCTTCCTCTACCTGTGCAGCTCAGCAGTGGTGTTGGTGTGTGATAGTATTTTTCATTTTCCTTGGTGAACACAAACACATCTTCAACATGCCTTTTATGGTTGGCCGAGCACCAATTAGGAGGACAAAGGAATATTTAGAAAAAGGGCGACTTGTATTTAAGGACATGGTTAAGGTGGTGACAATCAACTATAACACTAAAGGCAATGCCCATGAAGGAGCAAGGTCAGATAAGTTTGTTAAAAATATTAGTTATTTTGTCAAAAAGTGATTCCTAAAGATAGTGAATGATGATTATAAATGTAACATAATTGTCAGTAGATATTATATGTATTCAGCATTTCAAATTTACTCTGATTTACTAATGTTCTGACTGCATGGGTGTGAAACTGATTATATGTATTCAGCATTTCAAATTTACTCTGATTTACTAATGTTCTGACTCCATAGGTGTGAAACTGTTTTATGTATTCTGCATTTCAAATTTACTCTGATTTACTAATGTTCTGACTGCATGGGTGTAAAACTGTTTTATGTATTCAGCATTTCAAATTTACTCTGATTTACTAATGTTCTGACTCCATAGGTGTAAAACTGTTTTATGTATTCAGCATTTCAAATTTACTCTGATTTACTAATGTTCTGACTGCACGGGTGTAAAAACTGTTTTATGTATTCAGCATCAAATTTACTCTGATTTACTAATGTTCTGACTCCATAGGTGTAAAACTGTTTTATGTATTCAGCATTTCAAATTTATGATTATCTTTGAAGATAACATAACAATGTTTTGGGACAATGTGGGACCTATTGGTCCATCTCAGCTGTCTATCCTCTAAAACTAAAACTATTATGAAAAAAAAATAAAATATTAAAGCCAGCCCTTATCTTTCATATATTTATTAAGCTTTCTCTTAAACTAAAATTTAATGCCTCCACAACATCCGAAGGCAACCATTCCAAAAGCCAAACACCCTGTTAGAAAAATACAACTGTCTTAGCTGAAGATGACTCCTACCTTGCCAAAATTTATATTTGTGTCCCTTAGTCCTATTATTCTCACTGTTATGTATGAAAAAAGATGATGCATCAACACTATTAGTACCCTTTACAATCTTAAGCACCTCAATCAGATCCTCTCTAACTTTTCTTTTTTAAAGAGAAAACAATTTGAGAGATTTCAACCTATTTTCTATGACAAACCCTCCATCCCAGGCACCATTCTAGTAACCCTTTCCAAAAATTCAATGACCTCCTTAAGGTAAGGAGCCCAAGATGGAATACAATACTCCAAATGTGGCCTAACCAGTGAGCTATACAATGAAATTATAACCTCTTTAGACTTGTAT